GATGAAAAGATTAAGTTAGAAATGTTTTGTAAATATTTCAAGCTTCTTATACAAATTGTTATGTGCTTTAGAATTTTGAGTAGCATTTACATCTTTTCATATTAACTATATCTCAAACCACATGGAAACCAATTCATTTTAATTAGAAATAATATTTTCCAGTAATATGTTTTTGACCTAAAAGATAGCTTCTGCATATTTTTATTGTCATGGCCTCCAGAATTGCCAAAGGGAATTTTTATCTTGTCTTAATTAATTGTAAACTGGTTAAAGTTAGTAGTTGAACCTCAATTGTCACCAAAATAAAACTTGAAATGTATATTCCAGAATGAAGTTTATAATCATTTAAAAATTAAGTTTTATTGTAATCTCTAATAATGATATTTTTAGATAAAATAGGATATTTCCTAGGACTACCATCCTTCCTTCTTCCTGGAAACACCTAATATAAATACAATTAAAATGTTCAACAAGTGTACTGTATACTTGAAACTAATAATAAAATAAAATAAAACAAAATAAAATAGGAAGAAGGTAGAAGAAAAAAATTCTACTTGATGAAAAGGAGAAATTTCCTGTTTCTTCAATTGTTTAAATTAACTTTCACACACTTTGTTTTAATTCAAGAATTCTGAATGATAACATAGAATAATTAATGAAGAGTGAGTGAAATTCATTCATGTCTGCCATTTTTTGGTTAATTAAAAACTAACTTATAATACAGGAGAGATCCAATAATTTATACATCACGTGCACTTTTCAGTGAATCATTTATTAAACATAAAGATTATATTTCTTAAAAGTTTATTTATTCCATTATCAAAAGTATTTATATTTGCTCTAAAACACAGAAAAAAGAAAAATAATCAAAACCTGTTAATATTTTAGTAAATGCATTCTTGAGCTTTATATGCCTATCTATTTCTTTTCCATAGTTATAATTTAGTGTATATTTACACTTTTCCATATCACTTTATATTTTAAATCAATAGATATAAATTATTGAATATGTCCTTTATTCAATGTTACATTTTTTATTTTATCAAAAATGGCAGTCACTACTGAGTGTGCTTTTGGAATAATATAAGTACTTTTTAGATATCATTTAGATTTTGATACCTATATAATATGCCATCTGGTGATTCGAAGTTTATATAAAGTTTTTTTCCTTTCTTTTTAAATAATTAAATGTTATCTTCAATTTTTAAATTATTAGACATTTAAAAATCAATCCACTGTATTTCAGTTTGTTTTCTCAGTCTATATTTCCATAAAGTAAATTACTAGGAAAAAAGTTATGAACACATTTTACGTTATTCAATATTTACTGACATGTTTTTATTCAATTTCGGTACATTTCATGTTATATTATCTTTGAGCATTAAAAATAATTGACTAAGTAAACAAACAAGTAAACAATAAGCAATATTAATTCACTTTTGAGGAAAGGTCCACCAATTTTTTAAGTATTTATGAAAATTTCATGAGATATTTTACATGAAAAGATAAGTGTGTTGACTAAGGTTTATGCAGTAAATGGGAAGTAGCTACATTTTATTTAAGAAGATGTATCCTTTTTTTCCTCTGAAGTCTTAAACTTATGACTCAAATTGTTGGATAAAATTATAGTACCAAAATTTGTGAATCAAGGTTATGACACAGGAGAGGGAGGCTGACTTTAAAACTTGATGAGAGTAAGAATGAGATAACCAGGGCACTTCTGCTTCTCACTATTCAGATGTTCTGACCCATTAAGATGGTGGTGATAGTGGTGGCAGTGGAATTTTGGAATTTTACTACTTGAAGCTCCAGGATTTAAAGATCCTCTTATTATTAAGAAATTATTGTTTAATGGCTTTTTATCCTTTTAAGAAAAAAAAGGGAGATGCACATCAAATTCAAGTAAAAATCCTAATATTAATTTTATTTAACCTACTACCTAGAAGCAATAGTTTTATATAAGGCACACTGTTTCCCTCAACCAATCATTAGGTTTTTTTTTTTTTATTTCTAAATCTTTTCTTATATCTGTTGAGTATGCTTTTGGTTCTTTTTTATTGAGGTACACTGGACATATAATACGATTCAGATATTTAAATTATGTAATTATATGTTGACATATGTAACCATAACACCAGTCAATATTAATGACTGGTGTTATGGTTACATATGTCAACATATGTACAACTCTTCCATACAACTCTCCCCTACTGCATCCTTATTTTTTAATTCCAGCATTTTGAGGGTAGAATCTGTAAGATTTTCTATAGTTTTACTTCTTCCTTTTAAATCTGGATGCCTCTTCTTTTTTGCCTTATTGTAGTGGTTAGAACCTGTAGTACAGGCTGAATAGAAATGGTAAGAGCAGATATTCTTTACTTACCCTGCCCCAGTCTTAGAGGTGAAACATTCTTT